AGTTATTTGCCTGAAAAACAAGTTACAGATTTTGTTTGCGTCAATTTCAGATCGCCAACGTTGCAGCTCTTATTGTGAATGTGGCAACAATCGCTTTATACTTCATTTACCCACCACTTACTTGGCGAGTACCAATCATCGGAACAGGTCCTCAACAGAAGAAGGAGTTGTAGAAACCGCATTTGTTTATAATGCACTCTCACTTGCCATTTTCATATACTTACGACTTAGAATCGCTACTTTTATGTTCTTGCCTGTACTTTTTGCAGAATAAATGTGATATAACTGCTTTCGTGAATCAATATATGTATTGATGTTCATCGGTAGAGTATTTAACTAAAATCTCTCGAAGGAAGTATAACTATGCGTGCTTCGGTTAAAATTTGTTTCTAAGTAGATTTGGACTTCTATAAATGGCAATTTAAGCAAAAAGAGGGCTTGCAATAGCAGAGAAGATACTTTATATTCGCTAACTAGTCCTTAACCGAATATTGCTTTGTCCAACTACACTTTTTGCTTCGACATGTAGAAAACTTCTAGGAGCAGCTTTTATATTTCCATTTTTTTTTTGCTAGGGAAAAATCATCAGGAGAATTAGAATTCTTGCTTTATATTCAAATGTGCGCTTAAATAAACAAGCGATCAAATAGCGACGAACATTTATGCTAGCTGTTTTTAGTGAGAAACATTCTAATCGAAAGTGTGTATGAAAAAATCCTGTTGAAGTCAATTGCTGCAATCTGCTTAAGATTTACAAGTTCAAGAAGTATCTGATATATATAGTAGTATCTGACCTCTAAAAAGACGTTTAGACTGTATGTAAGTCATTTGGTAAATGTATTTAACTGGTTAAGAGATTTATAAATACGTTAAAATGCTTTCAAGTTTTGCCTATAGATTTATACTACGGGAGAAAAACAGGAAGCCTCAAACAAAGCAAATCAAAGTTTATAGGGTTCAATTTATTAATTACAGTTAGTAAATTCCAAAAATTCAAGCCAAGGAGGTAAACTTTCTCGCCGTCATGTCCAGGTTGTGGGTCAAACGCAGGTTTCATCCCATCAACTACACAAAGCATGAGTTGTTTATCGCAACCCAATTGGTTTATATCTAACAAATTTTTCGAGCGGCCACTCTTGTACAGAGATAAAGACCCAAGGAAAGAAAATTATGGTACCAGATTGTGCTGAAGATGAGAGAGACACGTGCGCCTTCTGCTTGTGGATGCAGCCTATCA